TCCCTCGCAGCTGCTCTCAACTCTGCACGTGAATTCCTACTTCCATCCCTCCATCTTCTTCACCTCCTGTCAAGACTCAGATCCCCCCAAGACTCAGTTGTATTCCCCGATCAGGGGTGGCCCAATCCATTACGCAAAGTAAGCCTTTGCAGTATAGTTGATTTTGCCCAGGGGCGCTCTTGAGGCACTCTTGGGGGAAAATAGAACTTGACATATGCGAGTTGTAGTTACTGGGATGTATAGTTCACCTACAATCAAAGAGCATTCTGAACTCCACCAATGATGGAATTGAACCACATCTGCCTGCAGATCCCAAACCAATACCGAACACGAAACAGGCAACGACAAGTCCAGACAGTACCCAATGGACAAATGTTCACCAACACCTTGCCTTCTGCAAGGAACCCTCATCCCAGACCACTTTTATCTACCTATCATCATCAGAAGATGAACTGACCACCACCCCATCATTATCCCTCGCAGCTGCTCTCAACTCTGCACGTGAATTCCTACTTCCATCCCTCCATCTTCTTCACCTCCTGTCAAGACTCAGATCCCCCCAAGACTCAGTTGTATTCCTCGATCAGGGGTGGCCCAATCCATTACGCAAAGTAAGCCTTTGCAGTATAGTTGATTTTGCCCAGGGGCGCTCTTGAGGCACTCTTGTGGGAAAATAGACCTTGACATATGCGAGTTGTAGTTACTGGGATGTATAGTTCACCTACAATCAAAGAGCATTCTGAACTCCACCAATGATGGAATTGAACCAAATATGGCACACAGAACTCCCACAACGAACAGAAAATATATATCAGTGATTGGTTGGGGGGGGGGGCGCCAAAATACTGTTTGCTTACCGTTGAAAATTACCTCTGATCCTGGATCAAACCAACGCAGGCTCGGGATTCCAGGCTCTGCTTATAGGATTCCTCATCTTCCTATTTTCCTATTTTTTATTTTTGAAAAGGTGCAATTTTACAATCTCGGACGTACGCTCGAAGTTGCGCAGTAATTGCGAGTAAACGGAAAATGTAAACATTGGCATTCTCATGAGATCACAAATTCTCAAAATTGTCAACAAGACTTTGGACTGTGCAACAAGTCAGACACACATTGTTTAATTAAAAACTGTGTAGTAAATAAAAATTGTATAGTGCAATTGACAATGATGGTGACGATGACGACGACAACGACAACAACAACAACTAGCTAAGGTACCTAGCAATGCCTGAGTTAGGGCTTCTGTGAGGCTGTTACAGGCACAACAACAACAACAACAAACTAAGGTACCTAGCAATGCCTGAGTTAGGGCTTCTGTGAGGCTGTTACAGGCACAACAACAACAACAACAACAAGCTAAGGTACCTAGCAATGCCTGAGTTAGGGCTTCTGTGAGGCTGTTACAGGCACAACAACAACAACAACAAGCTAAGGTACCTAGCAATGCCTGAGTTAGGGCTTCTGTGAGGCTGTTACAGGCACAACAACAACAACAACAACAAGCTAAGGTACCTAGCAATGCCTGAGTTAGGGCTTCTGTGAGGCTGTTACAGGCACAACAACAACAACAACAACAAGCTAAGGTACCTAGCAATGCCTGAGTTAGGGCTTCTGTGAGGCTGTTACAGGCACAACAACAACAACAACAACAAGCTAAGGTACCTAGCAATGCCTGAGTTAGGGCTTCTGTGAGGCTGTTACAGGCACAACAACAACAACAACAACAAGCTAAGGTACCTAGCAATGCCTGAGTTAGGGCTTCTGTGAGGCTGTTACAGGCACAACAACAACAACAACAACAAGCTAAGGTACCTAGCAATGCCTGAGTTAGGGCTTCTGTGAGGCTGTTACAGGCACAACAACAACAACAACAACAACAAGCTAAGGTACCTAGCAATGCCTGAGTTAGGGCTTCTGTGAGGCTGTTACAGGCACAACAACAACAACAACAACAACAACAAGCTAAGGTACCTAGCAATGCCTGAGTTAGGGCTTCTGTGAGGCTGTTACAGGCACAACAACAACAACAACAAGCTAAGGTACTTGGCAATGCCTGAGTTAGGGATTCTGTGAGGCTATTACAGGCACAACAACAACAACAAGCTAAGGTACCTGGCAATGCCTGAGTTAGGGAGTCTGTGAGGCTATTACAGGCACAACAACAACAACTAACTAAGGTACCTGGCAATGCCTGAGTTAGGGCTTCTGTGAGGCTGTTACAGGCACAACAACAACAACTAGCTAAGGTACCTGGCAATGCCTGAGTTAGGGAGTCTTTGAGGCCATTACAGGCACAACAACAACAACAACAACAACAACAACAACAACAACAACAACAATCTAAGGTTTATTGAAGACCTAAGCACTAATAAAGAATTTTGTTAAACTTTCCAACTTTCTAAAGACTTTGTTTAGGGAAATCCAAAGGGCCTCTAATCCGAGGCACCCCTGGCATCCCGTTGGGCATACAGAACATGTCCTGTCTACAGCACAGATGCCTTCCAGATCGTAACTGATTGGTCGGCTGGTTTGTAGGCCTGGGTAACAACGGAAAAATTTGTTTCTAAAATCGATTTGTATTTGGGGTTTTTTTTTGTTTCGATATTTAAAATAATTACAAAATTTTCCTTTTAAAAAGTTCGATATTTACGAAATTTCATAAATGGTAAAAAATTAACGAATCGATTTCCGAAACAATAACGAATCGATTCGTTGATGGCGGACGCAACCGCGAAATACGCTAAAAAGCCTCCAAAACCTTCTGAAGCTTCCCTCTCCCTCTGTTGTTGACTGTTGGTGTGATATTATAATTTTTTTCACTAATTAAACCATAAAACTGGCCCAGACATGCGGAAATAATAACGAAACGACCTCAAAACAATAACGAAACGAATACAATATCGAAATACGAAGCATTTACAAAACGTTTTTGAAAATTCGTTTTTTTTATAATTGCTCCAGAATGGTTCGTTATCGTTTTGTAATTGAAAAAATTAACGAATTATTAACGAATTACGAATTAACGAAACGAAACCGCCCAGCCCTACTGGTTTGTTTAATCTTATGAAGGATTGCAAGCATCCCAAGAGTCCGTTGTAACGGCGGGATCCACTCCGCACCAGATGTGGAGGCAAAACAAATCTGGCACCCCTCGGCGCCCATAGATTATCCTTTCTTCCAGCAGAGTAAGTGTGGGATCTCTCTAAAGTGCACGTTTAAGGAGGATCAAAGCGGCGCGGTTGGGAGAGATATTGACGTCACCCTCCTTTCAGGTCAGTGTGTCTGTGTGAGCCACAAAAGTTGGGACTTAATCCTGCCGTGTTATTTAACGCAGAGTTGTGTCCTTCGCTTAACATACATCACATAGCATCAGTCATTTTTTTTCCAAGATCCTTTGTAATCCTTTCTGTGGGTGACGGATTACCAGGCGCTTTAGAGGCACACGCTTTTTGCATTTATTTCACTCCCGACAGGACTGAAGCCAAGCCGAGACCTTGTGAACGAGGCAGTCAATGGCCATTTTTAAAAATAAGCAAAGACTAATTGTGTCGGCTGACCGAAAAGTTGGCGGTTCGAATCCGGGGAGTGGGGTGAGCTCCCATCTGTCAGCTCCAGCTTCTCGTGCAGGGACACGAGAGAAGCCTCCCAAAGGATGGTAAAACATCTGGGCAACGTCCTTGCAGACGGCCAATTCTCTCACACCAATTTCTCAAGTCACTCCTGACACACACAAAAAGTGAAGTAACAATGATATGCAAATACACAGAACAGAGGCAAAGGCTTCCCCTTTCATCTCCGGCTTCTGGATAATAATCACACTTTATTTATATTTTGCTCTATCTCCTCCTGCCTTTAATACAGTGGGATATTCTTTCCTCTTCTCCTTCTCCTTCCCCTTCTTCTCCTTTGCCTCCATCTCCTTCTCCATCTCATCTTCTTCTCCTTCCTATTCTTCTTCTCCTTCTCCTTCTTAATCTTCTTCTCCTTTTCCTCCATCTCATCTCCATCTCCTTCTCCATCTCATCTTCTCCTTCCTCCTCCTCCACCTCTCCTTCCTCTTCTTCTTTTTCTCCTCCTTCTTCCTCTTCTTTTTTCCTCCATCTCCTCCTCCATCTCCTCCTTCTCTTCTCCTTCTTCTTCCTCTTCTTCTCCTTTTCCTCCATCTCCTTTTCCACCTCATCTCCTTCTCCTTCCTCCTCCTCCTCCCTCCTCCTCTTCTTCTCCTTCCTGTTCTCCTCCTCCTCCTCCTCCATCTTCTTCTCCTTTTCCTCCATCTCATCTCCATCTCCTTCTCCATCTCATCTTCTCCTTCCTCCTCCTCCTCCTCCTCTTCTCCTTCCTGTTATTTTCCTCCTCCTCCTTCTTCTTCTTTTCCTCCATCCCATCTCCATCCTCCTCCTCCTCTTCTCCTTCCTCTTCTCTTCCTCCTTCTTCTTCTATTTTGCCTCAATCTCTTCTCCATCTTCTTGCTCTTCTCCTCCTTCCCCCTCCTCTTCTTCTCCTTCCTGTTCTCCTCCTCCTCCTTCTTCATCTTCTTCTCCTTTTCCTCCATCTCATCTCCATCTCCTTCTCCCCCTCATCTTCTCCTCCTCCTCTCCTCCTTCTTCCTCTTCTTTTTTTCTCCATCCCATCTCCTTCTCCTTCCTCCTCCTCCTCCTCTTCTCCTTCCTCTTCTCTTCCTCCTCCTCCTTCTCTTTTGCTTCAATCTCTTCTCCATCTTCTTGCTCTCCTCCTCCTCCTTCCCCCTCCTCTTCTTCTCCTTCCTGTTCTCCTCCTCCATCTTCTTCTCCTTTTCTTCCATCTCATCTCCATCTCCCCCTCATCTTCTCCTCCTTCCTCCTCCTCCTCTCCTCCTTCTTCCTCTTCTTCTTTTTTTGTCCATCCCATCTCCTTCTCCATCCTCCTCCTCCTCTTTCTCCCCTCCTCCTCCTCCTTCTTCCTCTTCTTCTCCTTTCCCTCCATTATTTATTTACTGTACAAAGTGAAAAGAAATGACCTGATCTTTTCAATATGGTTTCCCTTTATTAATTTCATTAAGAACAACAGTGAGTTTCGGGCAGTTCCACAGTCACTTTTTGACCCATGGAGAGATGCTTAAGTTGAATAGTAAATTTATATGATTTTTTTTTTTTTTTGCATGCTGTGAACTAACGAATTCAAGAATTCAGATAAAACTTGAAAAGCTTTCGGTAAACAATGGTCAGGTTTGTCTTGTTAAAAATGGTAATTGTTTATATTGTTTATAATATAATTAAATTAAATTTCACATTGTTTATAATATAATTAAATAAAAAAGGGGAGGTATACAAAAACATTATCTCTGCTCCTCTTGAACCACAATCCAAGGTCCGCACTATGCAAGTGGAACTAAGGTTACTCCATCAATGAGTAGGCACAATGTCCAATGTGCTACTACGTACAATGGCCTGCTGTTGTCTTCCAAATATATGTTACTCTATGCATAGCACATACTTAGGCATGTGTTTGTCACTAACAGCATCCCAGTTACTGCATGAAAGACATGTTTCTAGATAGGCCGATATCTAGTTTGTCTTTATTTAAAAGTAAATGATGGAAGGCCAGCCGGAAAGGCAGGTTCACAGTTGCATTTCAATGACAGTAAGTCATTGCTGGGATTTATAGTTCACCTACAATCAAAGAGTATTTTGATCTCCACCAATGATGGAATTGAGCCAAACTTGGCACACAGAACTCTCACAACCAACCAATACAGTATCAACCAGCATCCTCCCTCCTTCCCTCTGTGATTTCTGTTACAGTAAGTTGTAGCAGGACCAAGTGTGTGTATATTGAAGATGGTAATTATTGTGTGCAGCTGGTAATGTAGGTCAATCAGCATCCTCCCTCCTTCCCTCTGTCATTTCTGTTATGGTAAGTTGTAGTAGGACCAAGTGTGTGTGTGCTGAAGAAAAACCTTATGATGGTAATTATTATGTGCAGCTAGTAATGTAGGTCAACCAGCATCCTCCCTCCTTCCCTCTGTGATTTCTGTTACAGTAAGTTGTAGCAGGACCAAGTGTGTGTATATTGAAGATGGTAATTATTGTGTGCAGCTGGTAATGTAGGTCAATCAGCATCCTCCCTCCTTCCCTCTGTCATTTCTGTTATGGTAAGTTGTAGTAGGACCAAGTGTGTGTGTGCTGAAGAAAAACCTTATGATGGTAATTATGTGCAGCTAGTAATGTAGGTCAACCAGCATCCTCCCTCCTTCCCTCTGTGATTTCTGTTACAGTAAGTTGTAGCAGGACCAAGTGTGTGTATATTGAAGATGGTAATTATTGTGTGCAGCTGGTAATGTAGGTCAATCAGCATCCTCCCTCCTTCCCTCTATGATTTCTGTTACGGTAAGTTGTAGCAGGACCAAGTGTGTGTGTTGAAGAAAAACCTTATGATGGTAACTATTATGTGCAGCTGGTAATGTAGGTCAACCAGCATCCTCCCTTCTTCCCTCTGTGATTTCTGTTACGGTAAGTTGTAGCCAGACCTAGTGTATGTGTTGAAAAAAACCTTATGATGGTAATTATTATGTGCAGCTGGTAATGTAGGTCAACCAGCATCCTCCCTTCTTCCCTCTGTGATTTCTGTTACGGTAAGTTGTAGCCAGACCTAGTGTATGTGTTGAAAAAAACCTTATGATGGTAATTATTTTGTGCAGCTGGTAATGTAGGTTAACCAGCATCCTCCCTCCTTCCCTATGTGATTTCTGTTACGGTAAGTTGCAGCAGGACCAAGTATGTGTGTGTCGAAGAATAACCTTATGATGGTAATTATTATGTGCAGCTGGTAATGTAGGTCAACTAGCAATCTTGGAGTACAGCCGATAGGGTATAACTGTATGGGTTTTTAGAATACAGTTCTGGAAAGCTTTTACTCAAAGGCTCTGCTCTGAGGAGCAGGTTGGAGAGAAGCCGTTATGCTGCTCTAAAGGAGGCTATGATGGAATAGCTGTTAACTCAAGGTTTATGTTTTGCTTTCTCATTTGACTTAAGACGAAGATGCCTTGTTTTGTGTTACTTACAAAGACTATGTAAGTTTCTTGCACTGTTTGTATTTTGTATGTAACCTTGCAAGTTTGTATTTCACCTCTGCTATTAAGAGTAAAGATTTTTCTACTCTTGTCTGTGTGTCTTGAGCATGGGACGTGGCTAAGATCTCCTTGCTGCGCAACAATTTCCAGGTTCCTCATCCGTTGGGCCTCTCCAGCCCCGGGGCATTGCCGTGCCTTAACTCTTTGAGTCCCTGTTGTTAGTATTTAGGTACCTAGCACCGTGTCAGACGGGTAAGAGTAGGAGACTCCATATTATCCGACATTTTCATTTATCCGACATTCTGCCAGCCCGTTTATGTCGGATAAGCGAGACTCTATTGTACTACCACATAAATTCTAGATTATTAAATATGGTTTTCTGTGGGCGAGCAGATGGCGACTACTGGGTGGTTTATGATCTCTATCAGAAACTAGAGCTGATGTGGTCTATCCAATGCAATTTTCTGAATCAGCTGATGTGGTCTATCCAAGACAGTTTCCTGAATCAGCACCCCAAATAACCAAACCGGATCTAAAATTGATTTAAAAAAATCTTATTTGTAACCCTTTTGGTACTAATGTTGGAGAGTGGTCCCTGGTCAAAGTGGTCTCTGGTCAAAGAGGTCCAGGGGTCAAAGTGATCCCTAGTCAAAATGGTCCTTCGTGAATTGGTCCCTGGTCAAGTGGCTCCTGGTCAAATTTATTTATTTATTTAAAACTTTTCTATCCCGATCTTCTCAACCTCCGTAGAGGGACTCAGACCGGCTAATAGTACAGTCTAGAAACATCATACAATCACGAGTTAAAATGCATATCGATTAAAATTACAAATAAGCCAAATCGCCAAGATAAGATCATGTCCAACTCAGTCCGTATGTGTGGTCGATAACTTTGTTCTGTAGCCGGTTTCAACCATTACTCTGAGATTACTCTCTGGTCAAAGTGGTCCCTGATGAAGTGGTCCTTGGTCCAGTGGTTCGTGGTCAAAATGGTCCCTAGTGAATTGACCAAGTGGTTCTTGCTCAAGTGGTCTCTGGTCAAAGTGGTCCCTGGTAAAGTGGTCCATGGTCCAGTAGTCCGTGGTCAAAGTGGTCTCTGATCAAAGGGGACCCTGGTCAAAGTGGTCCCTGGTTCAGTGGTCCGTGGTCAAAGTGGTCTCTGATCAAAGGGGACCCTGGTCAAAGTGGTCCCTGGTTCAGTGGTCCGTGGTCAAAGTGGTCTCTGATCAAAGGGGACCCTGGTCAAAGTGGTCCCTGGTTCAGTGGTCCGTGGTCAAAGTGGTCTCTGATCAAAGGGGACCCTGGTCAAAGTGGTCCCTGGTTCAGTGGTCTGTGGTCAAAGTGGTCTCTGATCAAAGTGGTCTCTGATCAAAGTGGTCTCTGGTCAAAGTGGACCCTGGTCAAAGTGGTCCCTTTGACCCTGGTCCAGTGGTCTGTGGTCAAAGTGGTCTCTGATCAAAGTGGTCTCTAGTCAAAGTAGTCTCTGGTCAAAGTGGACCCTGGTCAAAGTGGTCCCTTTGACCCTGGTCCAATGGTCCGTGGTCAAAGTGGTCTCTGATCAAAGTGGACCCTGGTCCAGTGGTCCCTGGTTCAGTGGCCCATGGTCAAAGTGGTCTCTGGTCAAAGTGGACCATGGTCAAGTGGTCCCTGGTCAAGGTGGTCTCTGGTCAAAGTAGTCCCTGGTCCAGTGGTCCCTGGTCCAGTGGTTCCTGATCCAATCATCCGTGGTCAAAGTGGTCCCTGGTCAAAACAAGGTTGGGAACCGATGAGTTAAACGGCAGGATATAAACAGTGCAGCAGTTAACATCTACAGTGCTGCAGAGTTGAGTAAGAAAGAGGATGGTCAGGACTACAAAGAAGTTGACTGCCAGTCTTCTCCTGACCATTCCTTCAGTTCCAGAAGGTAACTTCCAAGATTCGACAAGACAGTACCATCCAACCTTGTGCTCAGCCTAATCCCGTTGTGCTCCTCTCATTCCGTTCGTCTCCATCCCCTTTTCCAGATGATTCTCGGGCGACCCTCGAAGTTTGCTTTGACCTGATTGCAATTCACAAGATGGGCTTTTTCAAACCAAAATGGAGGAAAACAAACGGTCTTCCTCTCGCCATGCAGAGTTAGGAAGTAGTAGGAGATATTCCATGACAAACTTGGGAAGATGGTGGTGTCTGCCTTGCTCCGCAGATGCTAAAGAAGTGGACAAAGACAGCGACACACAACAATCCTTCGTAATGGCAGAACATCGGAAGTCGGCTTCGGAAGTCTCTGAAAAAGTGGACCAAAGCTGGATCCCACCATGCAAGGTTCTGCTGCGCCTGGGATATTCCCCGTTAATACAACTGGCTTCCGTTCTCTTTTCCGTCACATCGTATAAGCCACCCAGTAAATGACGTTGACGGCGGCAAAGGCTGCCGGGAACACCGCCCGGGCATAGATATCAATGGTGTCTGCGTCAATGGGCTTGAAGAGGGATTTCAGGCCCGTTTTCTTCTCCGGTTTAGCCTCCTGTGGCTTTTTAATCTCCCCTGTTTCGACTTCGGTGGAGCCGGGAAGGTTTTTGGGGACTCTGCGTTGCCGGTTGGAAACCGCCAGCTCCTGGTTCACGCCGGCGATTGAAAGGGAAAACATCACAATGGCATTCTTCACGTTCACCTGAGATAGGAAAGAGAAGGGGGAAAACAATTGAAGAGACAACTGGTTGCAAACCAGTTAGTAGGCCGTAGCCTGTTAGAGTCAGTGGGCCAAAGCTTGTGTTGTCCTGAAGAAAGTGAATAGGCCGAAGCCTGTTAAGAGTTACTGAGAGAAAGCTAGTGTCGTCCTGAGGAGTGTGAGGTAAACCTGTCTGAGAGAAGCCTGTGTGAGAGAACGCCTCAGTGGGAGAAAGGTCTCAGTCTGTGAGGTAGGTCTCACAGTGAGTGGCCTTAGTCTACAACAGTGTTTCTCAACCTTCCTAATGCCGCGACCCCTTAATGGAGTCCCTCATGTTGTGGTGACCCTTAACCTAATTTGGCCTGTGTGAGAGAATGTTTCAGTGGGAGAAAGGTCTCAGTCTGTGAGCTAAGCCTCACAGTGAAAGGGTGGCCAAAGCTATTGTCGTCCTGAGGAAAGTGAATAGGCCGAAGCCTGTTAAGAGTTAGCAGGACAAATCTAGTGTCATTCTGAGGAGTGTGAGGACAATCTCTGTCTGGGAGAAGCCTGTGTGAGAGAACGCCTCAGTGGGAGAAAGGTCTCAGTCTGTGAGGTAAGCCTCACAGTGAGAGGTTGACCAAAGCTAGTGTCGTCCTGAGGAAAGTGAATAGGCCGAAGCCTGTTAAGAGTTACTGGGAGAAAGCTAGTGTCGTCCTGAGGAGTGTGAGGTAAACCTCTGTCTGAGAGAAGCCTGTGTGAGAGAACGCCTCAGTGGGAGAAAGGTCTCAGTCTGTGAGGTAGGTCTCACAGTGAGTGGCCTTAGTCTACAACAGTGTTTCTCAACCTTCCTAATGCCGCGACCCCTTAATGGAGTCCCTCATGTTGTGGTGACCCTTAACCAAATTTGGCCTGTGTGAGAGAATGTCTCAGTGGGAGAAAGGTCTCAGTCTGTGAGCTAAGCCTCACAGTGAAAGGGTGGCCAAAGCTATTGTCGTCCTGAGGAAAGTGAATAGGCCGAAGCCTGTTAAGAGTTAGCAGGACAAATCTAGTGTCATTCTGAGGAGTGTGAGGACAATCTCTGTCTGGGAGAAGCCTGTGTGAGAGAACGCCTCAGTGGGAGAAAGGTCTCAGTCTGTGAGGTAAGCCTCACAGTGAGAGGTTGACCAAAGCTAGTGTCGTCCTGAGGAAAGTGAATAGGCCGAAGCCTGTTAAGAGTTACTGGGAGAAAGCTAGTGTCGTCCTGAGGAGTGTGAGGTAAACCTCTGTCTGAGAGAAGCCTGTGTGAGAGAACGCCTCAGTGGGAGAAAGGTCTCAGTCTGTGAGGTAGGTCTCACAGTGAGTGGCCTTAGTCTACAACAGTGTTTCTCAACCTTCCTAATGCCGCGACCCCTTAATGGAGTCCCTCATGTTGTGGTGGCCCTTAACCAGATTTGGCCTGTGTGAGAGAATGCCTCAGTGGGAGAAAGGTCTCAGTCTGTGAGCTAAGCCTCACAGTGAAAGGGTGGCCTTAGTCTATGACAGTGTTTCTCAACCTTCCTGATGCCGCGACCACTTAATAGAGTCCCTCATGTTGTGGTGACCCCCAACCATAACATTATTTTCGTTGCTACTTCATTACTATCATTTTGCTACTGTGACGAATCGTAATGTAAATATCTGATATGGTGGATGTATTTTCATTCACTGGACCACATTTGGCCTGTGTGAGAGAACCCCTCAGTAGTGGAAAGGTCTCAGTCTGTGAGGTAAGCCTCACAGTGAGAGGTTGGCCTTAGTCTACGACAGTGTTTCTCAACCTTCCTAATGCCGCGACCCCTTAATAGAGTCCCTCATGTTGTGGTGACCCCTAACCATAACATTATTTTCGTTGCTACTTTGTAATGTTTTTTTGTTTGTTTTTTGGCTTTTTAAGTCTCTTCTGTTGTGTTTTTCAGTATTTTTATGAGTGGTGGCCACTTGTTGACCTGAGAGGTGTCTTGTGTCCAAATTTGGTGTCAATTCGTCCAGTGGTTTTGGAGTTCTGTTAATCCCACAAACGAACATTACATTTTTATTGATATAGATTATCAGAGGGTCTTACTGACCTCTTCCATCTGTCGGCTGCTCTTTAGCTTGTCTTTTTGCTTTTTCATGTAGTCTGCATTGAAGTGGGCAAATGCATATTCCACCAGTGCAGCAAAGACAAAGACGTAGCAGATCCAGAAGTACACGTCCAAGGCTTTGATGGCGGACGCTCTTGGGAGCGAAGACCGGGCACTCACCATCAGGGTGGTCATGGTCAGAACAGTTGTTATACCTGGATGGAGAAGGGGAAAGCATATCGGAACGCTTTGATGGCACAGGAGGCAAAACTTTTTCACCCACCCTCATATAATATAACAATATAATGATATAACAAAATAAATACTAATTCATTTTATTTGTTACCCAGCTCTCTTAATGACTCAAGGCAGCGACATAAAATACATACAAAATTTACATTCAGTAGAGTCTCGCTTATCCAACCTTCGCTCATCCAACGTTGTGTATTATCCAACACAGTCTGCCGCCCATTTGGATCCACAGCTGTTTCAATACATTGCGATGTTTTGGTGCTAAATTCGTAAATACAGTAATTACTACATAATGTTACCTTGTATTGAACGGATGTTTTTGGTGCTTAATTTGTAAAATCATAACGTAATTTGACGTTTGATAGGCTTTTCCTTCATCCCTCCTTATTATCCAATATATTCGCTTATCCAACGTTCCACCGGCCCATTTATGTTGGATAAGTGAGACTCTACTGTATATCAAAACAAGGCATTATAATACGAGGGTTATCCTGAAAGTAAGATTACAAGGCACATAGCTCTCAAGGGGAATTTTCGCAGAGGAAGTTGGCATCACGCTCTGGTCACATCCCGCCTTGACTACTGCAACGCTCTCTACGTGGGGCTGCCCTTAAAGACGGCCCGGAAGCTTCAGCTAGTCCAGCGCGCGGCAGCCATGTTACTAACAGGAGCGGGACGCAGGGAGCATACAACGCCCTTGCTGTTCCAGCTCCACTGGCTGCCGATTTGCTACCAGGCCCAATTTAAGGTGCTGGTGCTATCCTACAAAGCCCTAAACGGTTCCGGCCCAAAATACCTTTCGGACCGCATCTTGGCCTATGAGCCCACGAGGACCTTGAGATCGTCTGGGGAGGCCCTTCTCTCGATCCCGCCTGCTTCACAGGCACGTCTGGCGGGGACGAGAGAAAGGGCCTTCTCGGTGGTGGCCCCCCGGCTGTGGAACGACCTCCCTGCTGACATCAGACAGGCGCCTTCCCTTCTGTCCTTCCGTAAGAGCCTGAAGACCTGGCTATTTGAGAAGGCATTCAACTGAGCGCTACGGCAACTGGTAATTGACAACTGGAACGGAATACGGATTACGATATTGGTTATGATTCTATGATGTGACGGAGCGGATTATTTAGTGTAACTAGATTATAGTGTATTATTGTTGTATTGATTCCCTGTTTTGCCCTTTTTGTAAACTGTTTTATATGTTGTGCACCGCCGCGAGTCGCCCTAGGGCTGAGAGCGGCAGTCAATAAATGCAGTAAATAAATAAATAAATAAATAAATAATACAGTGTAAAAACAGTTAACAACCTAACACATTACACAATTAATAAACAGTTACTACACTTCCGTGTAGTGGGAAGCCAGCAGAAGAAAATGAGCAGTGCCAGTCGTTGGTAGCTCATCAACTGACATTATGATGTAGGTTAGAGATGAGCCCCCTCATTCCGGGCGCTCATCTTGTATTGTTACAAGGCACGTAGCTCGTGCGGGGAATTTTCTCAGGGGAAGTTGGTTTCACTGCCGTGTAGCGGGAAGCCAGCAGAAGCGAATGAGCAGTGCCAGTCGTCAGTAGCTCATCAACTGGCATTGTGATGAAGGTTAGAGATGAGCGTCCCCATTCCGTTTCCGTCCAAGTGCAAAGGTGTATGAGGGATATCTGGAAAGTAAGGTTACAAGGCATGTAGCTCTCGTGGGGAATTTTCACAGAGGAAGTTAGTATCACTGTTGTGTAGTGGAAAGCTAGCAGAAGCAAATAAGCAGTGCCAGTCGTCAGTAGCTCATCAACTGGCATTCTGGTGAAGGTTAGAGATGAGTGTCCTCATTCTGTTTCCCTCCAAGTGTAAAGTTTTAGGAAATTAGTATCACTGCTGTGTAGCCGAAATCCAGCAGAAGCGAATGAGCAGTGCCAGTCGTCAGTAGCTCATCAACTGCCATTCTGATGAAGGTTAGAGATGAGCGTCCTCATTCTGTTTCCCTCCAAGAGTAAAGTTTTCGCTGGGAAATTCTGCTGTGTAGCGGAAAGTCAGCGGAAGCGAATGAGCAGTGCCAGTCATCAGTAGCTCATCAACTGGCATTCTGGTGAAGGTTAGAGATGAGTGTCCTCATTCCGTTTCCCTCCAAGTGCTAAGTTCGCACTGTAATATGCTACCTAAATACTAAGGGCATGAACACCACTGCAATTCATCCCAAAATCGATTCAGTTTATGGAGAGGGTGTACTGTTAAGACAGCATGTAACAAAATGAGTAAGACATATATTGTGAGACCATGAAGAAACTTTGTAGAGACATCCAAAACAAATGTGGTGGGATGCCGAGGGCGGGAGTCTGTCTCCTTCATAACAATAGGCGTCCGCACATCGCTCATGCAACACAAGAGTTGTTGACTTCCTTTGGTTGGGATGTTTTAAGCCACCCCTCACAGCACACAGTGACTATCACCTGTCCACTAAATTGAAGGAACACCTGGGTGGAAAAAACTTTTCTGATGATGACGAAGCGGTGAAAATCAAAGTGACGTACTTTCCGACAAAGACGGGGGGAAACGTCTATGACACAGGCATCAAAAATTCATCCAACAGATGACAAAATGAATTGAGCTGAATTATGATTATGTGGAAAAATAATGCAATACCTATGCTGCAATCTTTGTAAGTTTTACTAAAATATATTCATTCTTTGTATTTAAAAAAATTGGAACCTTACTTTCTGGATAAGCCTCGTACAATTTAATATTTAAGAAACATACGCCGAACACAGGGTACAAAGATCAACATATAGGGACAATAGAATGCAATAGAATGCGAATCCTTCGACCACAGAATGCAATGAGTTTCATCTGCTCCATTCATGATCCCGAAGGAGTAATTTTTTGAAAAAGATCCTCCCCAACACTTTTACCTAACGAAACGCGGGCAGGCACCGCAGACTGGCTGATCCAGAAAGAAACCCAAGACATTGCAACCAGGAGGATGGAAGGCACATAGGACTGGATGATGTAGACCCCTCGATTCCTCCTCAAGTGGAAGTGGAGGCTCAGCCGGGGAAACTGGCCAGCTGGGTGACAGGAAAAAGAATTTAAAATATTTTAAAAATAAAATAACTTTAATGCAAAAATATTGCTATCACATCTTTCTTACATGAAGTTCAAGGTCTTTTATCAGGTCTCCTGTCCCATTTTATCCTCCCAATGTCAGAGTAAAGTCAATTAGTCTGAGGGAGAGTGTCTTAACAGGCTTCAGCACAGCGGGTTAAACCGCCAGCTGCAGAAAATTTTGCCGATCGAAAGGTTGACAGTTCAAGCCCGGGTTGGGGTGAGCTCCCAACCATCAGCCCAGCTTCTGTTCACCTAGCAGTTCAAAATCAGTAATGTGAGTAGATAAATAGGTACCTCTATTGTGGACATGCCGGTGATTCAATTGGGGGAGAATCTAAGCACAACAAAGCACACACACACACCCCGGTGGCCAGAATCGAGCACAGCCTCCAGATGCCGGAGATGAAAAAAGATGGGAAGCCTTTACCTCTGTTTATGTACTATCTGTTTGTGTACTGTTTATGTACTGCCTGTGAGTAGATAAATAGGTACTGCTTTGGCGGGGAGGTAACTTTATGTTTTTATATTTTGGTCTATTAAAACAGCCAGCAAGTAAGTGCTGTTTTAATTAAACCATTTGATAAAACTGGGAGTTTGGTTCATCTCCACCTAAATAAGGCAGAGCCCTGGCAACGTGACAATAGGTACCGCTTTGGCGGGGAGGTAATAAAAGGCACCCATGCGCTCATGCCGGTGATTCAATCAGGAGAGCATCTAAGGACAACAAAGCTTCTCGGAAGATGGAGCAACAGCACCCCCTGTGGCCAGAGTCAAGCACAGCCTCCAGATGCCGGAGATGGAAAAAGATGGGAAGCCTTTACCTCTGTTTATATACTATCTGTTTGTGTACTGTTTATGTACTGCCTATGAGTAGATAAATAGGTACTGCTTTGGCGGGGAGGTAACTTTATGTTTTATATTTTGGTCTATTAAAACAGCCAACAAGTAAGTGCTGTTTTAATTAAACCGTTTGATAAAACTGGGAGTTTGGTTCATCTCCACCTAAATAAGGCAGAGCCCTGGCAACATGACAATAGGTACTGCTTTGGCGGGGAGGTAATAAAAGGCACCCAGGCGCACATGCCGGTGATTCAATCAGGAGAGCATCTAAGGACAACAAAGCTTCTCAGAAAATGGAGCAACAGCACCCCCTGTGGCCAGAGTCAAGCACAGCCTCCAGATGCCGGAGATGGAAAAAGATGGGAAGTCTTTACATCTGTTTATGTACTGTCTGTGAGTAGATAAATAGGTGTCATATGTTCTGCAGTTGACGGTGCTTGTTGATGGAAGGGTTAATGTGAGTATTAGTTCTAAAGGGTTTAGTAATCTGTAAGTAAGAGTTCATGGGTGCAAGCAATTAAGGGTGTAGGTATGCAAGAGATAGATTGCAGCTGGGTGTTTGTGGATATAAGGAGCGAGCCTTGGAAGTTATCTTCGGGAGAAAAGTGTTGTCATATTTGGGTGGTGGATGCTGCTGGTTTTTCCTCCAGGTCTGTTGGATTTTCGGTATCCTGACCTGTCTCTTTAATCTTGGAACCTTGGACTGGCTTTTGACTATGGGATAGACTCTTGATCCTTCTACTCTGTTATTGAACTCTTGGCATTTGACCACTGGACTGGAACCTTTTGACTACGGCATAGACTCTTGATCCCTGGACTCTGTTATTGAACTCTCGGCATTTGACCGAGTTGTTTTTGCTATCCGTTTTTGTTTATTCTGTGGCTGAGAGCTATCTTTATGTTTTATATTTTGGTCTATTAAAACAGCCAGCAAGTAAGTGCTATTTTAATTAAACTGTTTGATAAAACTGGGAGTTTGGTTCATCTCTACCTAAATAAGGCAGAGCCCTGGCAATGTGACAAAATATGGGAAGAGGAACTGTCTGAAGATTATTTGTCAACAACCCAGATATTGCTTTCAAGTGCTCTTAGTTTCATATACCAAGTTTTTGCTAAGCTCCTGTTTTATGTACTGGATTTTTCATGCTGCCTTGTTTTCATGGATTGTTGTTCCAATGGATCTTATTTTGCCTTGAAGCTCGTGGACTATTTTTTGTTTTGGGAACTTTACTGTTTTTGCTAATTTTACTGCTTCAATAAACTGTTTGCTGATTTTACCAAGCTGGTGTGGTGTTTAAGTTCAGAGGTATTCCTGCTCTCGTGTACGACAGATATTCACAGAAAAACTAGAGTACTGTGTGCTGCGGGATGTCCCACAAAAACAAAGGTTATGTATTTTAATACACTTTTCCCGTGTTGTGCTGGTACGGCTGTGCTAGGAGATTTGATTCTTTTTCTTGCACAGTTTGTTTGAATTCATCTGGGCCATGCATTTTGCAATTGGGTAGCTTTCCCCAGGTTGCAATCCTAGGGCCAACAACCTATCAATCATTATTAGAGCTTTTAGATCCGCCCCTTTCCCCAGATTTGGAGGGAAAAGGGGACTTTTTGTTCAGTCTCACAGCTTGGAGCCTAACAGACAGGACGTGTGGGCTTCTCTTTCCAACCTGCAAAAAGCCTTCATTTCTCACAGCTATGCTGGGGGAAAAGAAATACAGCCAGCTTTGTTAGGCAAAAGGAATGGTTCCACAACCTTCGTGGAAAATCTAAAGGACGCCAGCTTGGCAGATCTACATACAACCTTATCTGGTAAGGGACACTCGGGCTATCCATAAAGCAGATCGGAGCCAGAAGTAGGGGTCTCACGCCAGTATAGTAAAGGAAGATTGCCCAAGGAGGGGTCAGAAGGTTTCCCCAAGAAAGAAAGGAACAGTTTAGCAAGACGTTGCCTGTCCCTTGTTGGCAGATCGAGAAAGCTAGTAGGTTTTCAAGATTATGAAGCATTTAATTCATTTGTTTGAAGATTTAAGCCCTAATAAAGAACTTTGTTGAACTTACTTTGAGTCTCTACAGAACTTTGCGTTGGGAAACCTAAGGGACCCTTTAGCTGAGGCACCCCTGGCGTCCCGCTGGGCATTCAGAAAGTGCGTCCTGTTTGCAGACATTATCACAGGCCCAGCGCATGACCACACGTGTTTTTTTATGATAGAACCTGTACAGGAGTTGATTATAAATTGTATGATTTTAACTGTATTTGTGTTTAGATTGGCTGCAGTAATGTTGGAGCAGCCTAAGTCAGAGGAGTCCTCCCTGTGCGTTGCCATGGAGACCGATGCAGGAGAGAGGGAAGTGGGAGGAGCTTAGAGGGGAGAGTTTGAAAAAATGACAGTTAAAAATCAGTTAGGGTTTAGGTTTAGAGGAGTGAGCAGTCCGGGTTTAGGTTCAGAGGAGTCAGGAGTTAGGTTCAGAGGAGTGAGGAGTTAGGAGTTGGGAGAGAAGGAAAGAAAAGGTGGCGGAGTGACTTGTGAAGCAAAACTTTGAGGCTTTGAAAAGCTGGGTTTGGCTATTGGAAGTTTCTCAGGCTAGTGCAGCCAAATGGTGAAACATAGCTGGAATTCTTTTAGTCTAAGGAGAGGCTAAAGAATAGTTTACTTAGTATTTGATCTAGGGAGGATCAACTAAGGGAAACATCCCTGTATGGAAACTTTGTCTGAAACAAGTGCTCTACGTCAGAAAGATACTGTGTTACTAGAAAGAATGAACTGTTAAAGTTACAAGTATTATTCCAAGTGCAACAAGGAAAAGTTACGTCTTGCAACCACACGCTGTGTACTTAATAAAATTGTTAACTTTTATTTGAAGATTGCCTCAGCTCCGTCTATTCTGTGTACAAAGTGCCATTTCTCACAATATTACAACTTACCTCACGTGGTGGCAGAAACGTAGGGAAAAGTAACCAAATAAATCTACATTCTTCTCTCCAGTCACGCTACAGTATATACAGTGTAATTACTACTAAGTTATTACTTTCTTAATAAAGGAGGAGGTGCAATTGAACAGCCTCCCTTCTAACTTGATGGTAAATTTGGTTCCTAATCGGCAACCTCCATTGCAAATCGGCTAAGTCTTTTTAAAATTGGGAACTGGGGTAAAATCTCCTGAATACTGGTTCCTTTCAAATTGGTGGCAACAATAAATCATCCCTCAGCTCCCCTGCTTCTTTTCAGAACCCATTAAGGGATGGCATTTATAACCCAGGAACGAAAATTGTGTTACGTCGTGTGATAACTAATTATTTACTTTTGTACCGTGATGAATCACGCAAGACATTATTGTAAAACAATAAACATTTCAAGTATTCATATAGTTGCCAGAAGAATAGGAGGAGATAGGAGTGCTGTTTTTATTCTCTCTAGAAGTTATGCTATCTGTAGGAAGGACTGAAGGGTTTGTTTACCAGATTTGAAGTTCATGACTTCTGTTGTGAAGCGGTAACTGGTGATGGTGAACTGAGCGAGCTGCAGCTTATCCAACCCATGGATCTGATCCTGGTTTTCGGACCAGCGGTAGACAATATCCTCGGAGGCATAGCCATCTGTCAAACGAGATGGGAGAATAAATACGGAGGACATTGTGCATATTTTTGTTTGATTGTTGTCTGTCTGCCAAGGTGAGGTCTCCATATTTCCAACCGCTTGGGGTCAGAAGAACCAACTGGGACCCAATTACCAAATGGTCTTATTTTCTTTCTGGGGAGAGTCGACACTCCGTGCGCTGCGGAGCCAAATTCATTACCAAAGCCGCCCACCGGAGAAATCTCTTCATCTCACAAAATGTGGTCCTTTGTCATGGCAATGAACTGATCTAAATTATCTGACTGATTCACTCTACTCCCCCTGATTTCATCTTGGAATTGAATCCCATTTCACCAAATGATGGTTTCACACCACAAGCAACATGGATTATCTAGGTTCTTGTGGGTTTTTTCGGGCTATAGAGCCATGTTCTAGAGGCATTTCTCCTGACGTTTCGCCTGCATCTATGGCAAGCATCTTCAGAGGTTTGAGGTCTGTTGGAAGTAGGAAAAATGGGTTTATATATCTGTGGAATGGCTGGGGTGGGGCAAGGAGCTCTTCCCTGCTGCAGTTAGGTGTGAATGTTTAGCTGATCACCTTCATTAGCATTTGAAGGCCTGCCTGAGCCTGGGAAACTCTGTTGCTGGGAGGTGTTAATCTGTGCCTGGTTTTTTCCTCTCTGTTGTTTAGCTGTTATAATTTTAGAGTTTTTTAATACTGGTAGCCAGATTTTGTTCATTTTCATGGTCTCTTCCTTTCTGAGAACACAGAAATGCTGGACCACACCAACAACCACCATGTCAGACTACACAGAGAAGCCATTGAAATCCACAAGAAGCATGTGGACAATTTCAACAGAAAGGAAGAGACCATGAAAATGAACAAAATCTGGCTACCAGTATTAAAAAACTCTAAAATTACAACAGCAAAACAACAGAGATGAAACAACCAGGCACAGATTAACACCTCCCAGCAAGAGATTTTCCCAGGCTCAGGCAGGCCTTCAAATGCTAATGAAGGTGATTGAAACATTCACACCTAACTGCAGCAGGGAAGAGCTCCTTGCCCCACCCCAGCCATTCCACAGATATATAAACCCATTTTTCCTACTTCCAACAGACCTCACACCTCTGAGGATGCTTGCCATAGATGCAGGCGAAACGTCAGGAGAAATGCCTCTAGAACATGGCTCTATAGCCCGAAAAAACCCACAAGAACCTAGTGATTCCAGCCATGAAAGCTTTCGACAATACATTGAACATGGATTATCTTGGAACAGAGGCGGCCCTAGGTAATTTTCAATGGTAAGCAAACAGTATTTTGCCCCCCCCCCCTTATTGATATATATTTTCTGTTCATCGTGGGAGTTCTGTGTGCCATATTTGGTTCAATTCCATCATTGGTGGAGTTCAGAATGCTCTGATTGTAGGTGAACTATACATCCCAGTAACTACAACTCGCATATGTCAAGGTCTATTTTCCCCCAAGAGCGCCTCAAGAGCACCCCTGGGCACAATCAACTATACTGCAAAGGCTTACTTTGCGTAATAGGTTGCTGAGGCTTCCCTCGGACTGCTAGGGCTGTTGTGAGCCGAGGGGGTGCTCCTCAAGTGGTGGTCAAGGGGCATTTACAGAGGCGCCTCTGCGCCCCTGGCAAAAAAAAGTGTACTGCGACCGCTTACTTTGCGTAATGGATGAGCCGCCCCTGTGTCTCAGGGGGGGCTCAACCCATTACGCAAAGTAAGCATTTGCAGTATAGTTGATTTTGCCCAGGGGCGCTCTTGAGGCGCTCTTGGGGGAAAATAGACCTTGACATATGCGAGTTGTAGTTACTGGGATGTATAGTTCACCTACAATCAAAGAGCCTTCTGAACTCCACCAATGATGGAATTGAACCAAATATGGCACACAGAACTCCCACGACGAACAGAAAATATATATCAGTGATTGGTTGGGGGGGGGGCACCAAAATACTGTTTGCTTACCGTTTAAAATTACCTAGGGCCGCCTCTGCCTGGGAAGGAATCCCACTGGAGCACTGCACCCAAAATACCTGGGAGTTATTCTAGACCAGCGGTTCTCAACCTTCCTAATGCTGCGACCCCTTAATACAGTTCCTCATGTTGTGGTGACCCCTGGGCATAAAATTATTTTCGTTGTTACTTCATAACTCTCATTTTGCTACTATTATTAATCATAATGTAAATATCAAATATCCAGGATGTATTTTCATTCACTGGACCAAATTTTGCACAAATACCCAATACGCCCAAATTGGAATACTGGTGGGGTTTGGGTGTGTGTGTGTGTGTGTGATTTTTGTCATTTGGGAGTTGTAGTTGCTGGGATTTATAGTTCACCTACAATCAAAGAACATTCTGAACTCCACCAATGATGGAATTGAACCATACTTGGCACACAGAATTCCCATGACCAACAGAAAATACTGAAAGGATTTGGTGGGCATTGACTTTAAGTTTGGGAGTTGTAGTTCACCTACATCCAGAGAGCACTGTGGACTCAAACAGTGACGGATCAGGACCAAACTTGGCACCTATACTCAATATGCCCAAATGTGAACACTGGTGGAATTTGGGAAAAATAGACTTTGACATTTGGGAGTTGTACTTGCTGGGATTTATAGTTCACCTACAGTCATGGAGCGTTCTGAACCCCACCAATGATAGAATTGAGCCAAACTTCCTACACAGAACCCCCATGATCAACAGAAAATACTGTATTTTCTGATTGTCTTCGGCGACCCCTCTGACACCCCCTCGCGACCCCCACAGGGGTCCCGACCCCCAGGTTGAGAAACACTGTTCTAGACCATGCTCTGACTTACAAGAAACACTGCTTGAACATCAAGCAAAAAGTGACACTAGAAACAATATCATACGGAAGTTGACTGGCACAACCTGGGGATCACAACCAGGCACAGTGAAGGCATCTGCCCTTGCGCTAGGCTACTCTGCTTGCTACTCATGCCCAGTGTGGAACACATCTGTTATAGAACTCCAATATGCTAATAATAATAATAATAATAATAATAATAATAATAATATTTATTTATACCCCGCCACCATCTCCTCGATGGAGACTCAGAGCGGCTTACATGGGTCCAAGCCCGGACAACATATTACAGCAATAAAATCAAAACATAAACAACAAACAATAACAACAACATCAAAGTACATTAATTTAAAAAAACCATCTTAAAATAACATTCTAATAAACACAATCGCAATAACAATAACGATAACAATGGACGGGCCACATGTACAGGATAAAACATTTTAAACATAGTCTGTGCGCATTCAGAAGAAGACCTACAAGCCACTCTAAAATCCTTCGCAGAAGCATACGAGAAGCTCGGCCTGTCACTGAACATCGAGAAGTGCTCTTCCAGAAGTCACCGGCCAATCCCTCTCCAATGCCAGAGATACAGCTTAATGGTGTCACATTAGAAAATGTCGACCATTTCCGCTACCTTGGCAGCCACCTCTCCACAAAAGTCAACATTGACACTGAAATACAACACCACCTGAGCTCTGCGAGTGCAGCATTTTTCCGAATGAAGCAGAGAGTGTTTGAGGACCGGGACATCCGTAGTGAGACCAAGGGGCTTGTTTATAAAGCCATTCTCCTCCCAACCCTGCTCTATGCCTGTGAAACGTGGACTGTCTACAGACGTCACATGCAAATCCTGGAACGATTCCATCAGCACTGCCTCCAGAAAATCATGCAAACTTCTTGGGAAGATAAGCAGACAAATGTCAGCGTGCTGGAAGAAGCAAAGACCACCAGCATTGAAGCGATGGTCCTCCGCCATCAACTCCGCTGGACCAGCCACGTCCGGATGCCCGACCACCGTCTCCCAAAGCAGTTGCTCTACTCCGAACTCAAGAACGGAAAATGGGATGTTGGTGGGCAGGAAAAGAGACTGAAAGATGGGCTCAAAAATCAACCTTAAAAACTCTGGCCTAGACACTGAGAACTGACCCTTGAGCGCTCCAGCTGGAGGTCAGCTGTGACCAGCAGTGCTGTAGAATTTGAAGAGGTACGAATGGAGGGTGAAAGAGAGAAGGGTGCCAAGAGAAAGGCACGCCATGCCAACCCCGACCAGGACCACCTTCCACCTGGAAAACCGATGCCCTCAATGTGGGAGAAGATGCAGATCAAGAATAGGGCTCCACAGCCACCTATGGACCTACCGCCAGGACACTGATCTTGGAAGACAATCCTACTTGGTCAACGAGGGGTTGCCTAAGTAAATAAGTGTGGAATACATCTCACCACACTAAAACAGTGGATGTGGCTCTTAATGATGTACACTCTACACTGCTGGAGAAATTATGCTGTCTAGCTGGTATTGTACCACCTATATATTTTATATTACATGTAATATTACTGATAATATTACAATATAATGGTACTAATAATACTAATATTCCCGACAACCGCTGGGAAGTAGCAACCAGTAATGAAAGGACCAAGGCATTGACATCTTTGGCCCATCCTCTGTTTGGATATCAGTCAGCAACCCAACGCCTTAAACCAGCTTCCTAAGACCTACAGCGATACTCACAGAAACATCTCAGCAAGCAAAAGTCCAAAAGTGGTAGGCAAAAAGCCAGAAACTCAATCCATGTCGGATATCAAATGGGAGACAATATGATATTATAATTATATATTTCATATTGTATGTAATATGACTAATAATATTACAATATAATGGTATAGTACAATATAGGGGTATATAATACTGATATTGTACTATGCTAATAATATAATATATTCTATGTATATATATCTTGTAAGCCGCTCTGAGTCCCCTGCGGGGTGAGAAGGGCGGCATAGAAATGCTGTAAATAAATAAATAAAGTGTGATGGTGATGATGATGATGATGATGATGATGATGATTATGTGTCCCAGTATGGAACCATGATCTGGGCACGCAAGAGAAGGAGGGCCATTGGATGCAACGCAAGCAAAGGGGATGCTCCATGCCTTGTCTTGCGCCTACTATTGGTGGCCACCCTCTTCAAAGCTCTCGTAGGGTTCAACTCACAGCTCTCCAAATCGAGCATGCACTCCTGATCATCCATGGGATATTTCGTAAGGTCCATGTCGCAGGCCACTGTCGAGGTAATCCTACCAAATATAAAGACAATAAAAGACAATGATTACATTGACATCAATGGCTCCAAACATGTTGCTGCATCGCAGTGGTTCCCAACCTGTGGTACATTTATTTATTTACGACATTTCTGTGCCGCCCTTCTCACCCCTTCTCACCCTCAGAGCGGCTTACAAGAGATATATACAGACAATATATTATATTATTAGCATAGTATAAGATCAGTATTATATATTACTACATTGTACTATACCATTATATTATAATGTTATTAGTAATATTACATGTAATATAAAATATATAATTATATTATATTATTAGTATTATTAGTACCATTATATTGTAATATTATTAGCAATATTACATGTAATATAAAATATATAATTATATTATTAGTATTAGTATTATTAGTACCATTATGGAAAACACAAGAATGGCCATCAGACTGGAAAAAATCAACTTATATCCCCATACCAAAAAAGGGAAATGCGAAAGACTGCTCAAACTTCCGTACAGTGGCCCTTATTTCTCATCATGCCAGTAAGGTAATGCTCAAGATCCTGCAAGGAAGACTCCAGCAATACATGGAGCGAGAGTTGCCAGATGTTCAAGCTGGGTTTAGAAAAGGCAGAGGAACGAGAGACCATTGCCAATATCCGCTGGATAATGGGGAAAGGCAGGGAGTTTCAGAAAAACATCTACTTCTGCTTCATTGACTATTCTAAAGCCTTTGACTGTGTGGATCATAATAAATTGTGGCAAGTTCTTAGTGGGATGGGCATCCCAAGCCACCTTCTCTCTCCTGAGGAATCTGTACAAGGACCAAGTAGCAACAGTCAGAACTGACCACGGAACAACAGAGGGTTCAAGATTGGGAAAGGCGTACGGCAAGGCTGCATCCTCTCACCCAACCTTTTTAACTTGTATGCAGAACACATCATGCGATGTGCGGGGCTGGATGAATGCAAGGCTGGGGTAAAAATTGCTGGAAGAAACATTAACAACCTCAGATATGCAGATGACACCACTCTGATGGCCGAAAGCGAGGAGGAGCTGAGGAGCCTTCTAATCAAGGTGAAAGAAGAAAGCGCAAAAGCTGGGTTGCAGCTAAACGTCAAAAAAACCAAGATTATGGCAACAAGAATGATTGACAACTGGAAAATAGAGGAAAACCGTGGAGGCCGTGACAGACTTTGTATTTCTAGGTGCAAAGATGACTGCAGATGCAGACTGTGGCCAGGAAATCAGAGACGCTTCCTTCTTGGGAGGAGAGCAATGTCCAGTCTCGATAAAATAGTCAAGAGCAGAGACATCAGACTGGCAACAAAGATCCGCCTAGTCAAAGCCATGGTATTCCCTGTAGTCACCTACGGATGTGAGAGCTGGACCTTAGGGAAGGCTGAGCGAAGGAAGATTGATGCTTTTGAGCTGTGGTGTTGGAGGAAAGTGCTGAGAGTGCCTTGGACTGCGAGAAGATCCAACCAGTCCATCCTCCAGGAAATAAAGCCCGACTGCTCACTGGAGGGAAAGATACTAGAGACAAAGTTGAAGTATTTGGGCCACATCATGAGGAGACAGGAAAGCCTAGAGAAGACAATTATGCTGGGGAAAGTGGAAGGCAAAAGGAAGAGGGGCCGACCAAGGGCAAGATGGATGGATGGCATCCTTGAAGTGACTGGACTGACCTTGAGGGAGCTGAGGGTGGTAACGGCCGACAGGGAGCTCTGGCGTGGGCTGGTCCATGAGGTCACGAAGAGTCGGAGACGACTGAACGAATGAACAACAACAACAGTACCATTATATTGTAATATTATTAGTAATATTACATGTAATATAAAATATATAATTATAATATCATATTATTATTATTAGTAGTAGTATTATATTGTATTACATAATATTATAAATATTATATATATACACACACACACTAGGCATGTGCAATCCATGCTTCTAAATGGTTCTAAAGTACTTACAAAGCTAAAGTTCTGGTGGTGAAAACTAGGGGGCGCTGGTGCTTTGCTTCTACAGTGTTGCTAAAGTTCTGGTGGTGAAAATTTCAGAAATCTAACACAACTTTCAAAATTTCATTATAAATGGCAGTTCCTAATAGGTTCTGTCTGTTGCAACCCAGAGCAGGAAACGAGACCATAAGATAACAATCCACCACACTTGACTGTGGGAAAAACAATCCCTTTTTATTGATGAAAAATGGTTACAAAATAGAAGAAAATGCAAAGTCAAAAAGCCACGGTAAAATTCAGCAGTCAAGAATATCCATGAACTAGATCAATATCCAAAAGCCACACTGTAAAAACCTGGAACCTGTTAGCAATTCACTAACCGTACTTGGAGCACTAGAAGCCTCTTGGGATGTAGGCCACGGGAAACAGGAAATCTGCCAAGGTAATGCCTCAGTCTAAACGATGCCTGATCTAACGAGACAACCCTTCGGGGTGAGAAGGGCGGGGTAAAAGAACCCCAAATAAATAAATAACCCGGCGAGAGGCACTTAAAACTGAAGAAACTGTTTAGTGACACGCCTCCAGGCTTTGAAGCTGGTTTTGACCTATAAAACCCTATACGGTTCCGGCCCAGTGTACTTGTCCGAACGGATCTCCCTCTACGTCCCACCTCGAAGTTTAAGATCTTCTGGGGGGGCCCTGCTCTCGACCTCGCCAGTGTCACAAGTGAGGCTGGTGGGGACGAGGAGCAGGGCCTTCTCAGTGGCGGCCCCCCGCCTGTGGAACTCACTCCCCGGGGAGATCAGATCGGCGACTTCCCTTCTAGCATTTAGGAAAAAACTAAAGACCTGGATGTGGGACCAAGCTTTTGGTCACTCTGACAACTAACTTAAGGACCTGGCGATAGACAAGGACAAACGGAATAGAATGGATATATGGACTCTGATATATGGACTCTGACATGAGATTGTTTTAGGATTTTTGATTTTATTATGTATTGATGTTTTAATTTAACTGCTGAATTGTTGTATTTTTAGATTACTTGTTGTGTGTTTGGGCATCCAATTGTGCCTTCCCTGTAAGCCGCCCTGAGTCCCCCTCGGGGTGAGAAGGGCGGGGTATAAGTGAATGAAATAAATAATAAATAAATAAATAATAAATTTTATTTATTTATTTATTTATTTATTTATTTATACACTTGTATACCGCTAATATCTCAGCCTAAGTCGGCGACTCATTGCGGTTTACAACAATTAAAAACAGTATCCAATTTAAAACATAAAAACACGTATAAGGGAAAATTAAGGGAAAATTTCCTTTTCCCTTAATCTGCTTGACCTTCGCAGGCTCTGCGATTCACTCCTGTTTTTCCAAATCTGTCCTTTTCTATCCTCATTAAGGAACCCAGGTGTTGGCTCCTCTGGAGAGCTATCACCGCTTGGCTCTGCAACATTCTCGTCAGGCTGTGTAGTTTCACTTTCCAAGCCACTGACCTCAGAATCAACATTTTCATTACCATCAGGGAAAAATACATGTTCAGTAGCATCAGGAAATACAATCAGAGAATCAGGTTCAGGTTCAGCAATCAGAGAATCAGGTTCAGGTTCACACGCAGGCTGAACCCCAACACTGTCATAAAAATCACTAATAATGAAATAATAATGAAATTTTGAAAGTTGTGTTAGAGTTCTGAAATTTTCACCACCAGAACTTTAGCAACACTGTAGAAGCAAAGCACCAGCGCCCCCTAGTTTTCACCACCAGAACCATAGTTTTGAACTGCATTATCTGAGTCCACACTGCCATGTAATCCGGTTCAACGTGGATATTATACCTCTGTGTGGAAGGGGCCTCAATCCTTTTGACCTTCGCAGGCTCTGCGATTCACTCCTGTTTTTCCAAATCTGTCCTTTTCTATCCTCATTAAGGAACCCAGGTGTTGGCTCCTCTGGAGAGCTATCACCGCTTGGCTCTGCAACATTCTCATCAGGCTGTGTCGTTTCACTTTCCAAGCCACTGACCTCAGAATCAACAAGGTTTCCTGTTACCTGATGCTATACAGGATGACCCCGTCCGGCTGCAATCGGATGAGCTTGTTCTCCACGGTGACGTCATGAAACCAGGCCGACTTTGCATTGACGATGAAGGTGTCCGGCAGCCAGAGCTTGTCCACAAAGCGACTGTCCAGGCCCAGAGTCTCATTGGTGTGGTTGTAGGACAGCCGGTCATCCCGCCAGCTCTGATGCAGGAAAACCGTCATTGTGTATTCCTAAGGACAAGAGCCATCAGATAGGATGACAATGCAGGGCTGTCATACTTCGGCCATATTGCAATGAATCGATACAAATAAAATGTCATGTTGGTTTGTGGGATTAACAGAACTCAAAAACCACTGGACAAATTGCCACCAAATTTGGACACAAGACACCAACTAACCCAAGGAGTGACCATCACTAAAAAAAAAATTGATTTTGTCATTTGGGAGTTATAGTTACTGGGATTTATAGTTGATTTACAATCAAAGAGAATTCTGAACTCCACCAAGGATGGAATTGAACCAAACACGGCACACAGGACTCCCATGACCAATATGGGCATTGATGGGCATTGACCTTGAGTTTGGGAATTGTAGTTCACCTACATCCATAGAGCACTGTGGACTCAAACAATGATGGATCTGGACCAAACTTGGTACTGATACTCAAAATGCCCAAATATGAACACAGATGGGGTTTGGGGGGAAATAGGCCTTGACATTTGGGAGTTGTAGTTACCGGGATTTATAATTCACCTACGAGAGCATTCCGAATGCCACAAAGGACAGAATTGGGCCAAACCTCCCACACCGAACCCCCATGTGGGCCACAGTATTTGGGAGTTGTAGTTACTGGGATTTATAGTTCACCTACAATCAAAGAGCATTCTGAACTCCACCAATGATGGGATTGAACCAAATGTAGCACATAGGACTCCCACGACAAAAAAATGACAGAAAATGACAGGACTCCCATGACAGAAAATATTGCAAGGGTTTGATGGGCATTGACCTTGAGTTTGGGAGTTGTAGTTCACCTACATCCAGAGAGCACTGTAGACTCAAACAATGATGGATCTGGACCAAACTTGGCACAAATATTCCATATGCCCAAATATGAACACAGATGGAGTTTGGGGAAAATAGACCTTGACATTTGGGAGTTGTAGTTGGTGGGATTTATAGTTTGCTTACAATCAAAGAGAATTCTGAACTCCACCAATGATGGAACTGAACCAAATGTGGCACACAGAACTCCCATGACCAACAGAAAACACTTGAAGGGTTTGGTGGGCATTGACCTTGAGTTTGGGAGTTGTAGTTCACCTACATCCATTGAACACTGTAGACTCAAACAATGATGGATCTGGACCAAACTTGGCATGGATACTCAATATACCCAAATGTGAACATTGGTAGAGTTTGGGGAAACAGACCTTGACATTTAGGAGTTGTAGTTGCTGGGATTCACAGTTCACCTACAATCAAAGAGCATTCTGAACCCCACGAACGACAGAATCGGGGCAAACTTCCCACACAGAACCCCCATGACCAACAGAAAATACTTAAGACCATCCAATCCAACTCCCTTCACCAGGGCAAGAACACGTAATCAAAGTCCTCCTGACAAAGAGCCATCAAGCCATTCAGATAGACAGACAGATAGATAGATAGTAGGGCTGGGCGGTTTCATTTCGTTAATTCGTAATTCGTTAAAAAATTCGTTAATTTTTCAATTACAAAACG